CGTTCTCCCTGGTGCTCCAGCGCGGCCGGCGCCAACAGGGCACGGGGCTGCTCTGGGCTCTGACCAGAGGGACAGGTCCCCTGGGCTGGCAGCGGGTCTGTCCTGGGTGCCCACACCAGCCGTCCCCCGGACCACCTCCCCAGACCCTCCCTCTGCAGACCCACGCACACATCGGCGTGCTGAGCTCCCTCTCCTCTCCCAGGCCTGGGCCCCCCGTTCCCAGTTTCTAGATGGAGCCCCCTGTCCCCTCCTCAGGGGACCGCATGGTGCTGCTGTGGGAGAAGACCCCCCACACCCCTCCTTTGCACCAGGCCAGAACCTCACGAGATAATCTCAACATTCACCCAAGCACACCCCACCTCCGTCACAGGTGAGGTGATGAGCTCCCTGTCTCCAGAGACATCCAAGACGACACTGAGTGAGGAGGGAGGTCCTGGGCTGCAGGCACTGTTCTGCTTGTGACCTGAACGCAGTCACGTGGGAATGGTTTGTTTTCAAGAACCACTGACCGCCGCCCTCGTGACGGGAGCGCTTTTCCGCATGGACGTGACGGCTCGTTAATAATTTCCTAAGTGGAAGGGATTGGGAGCTGCTGACCATTTGGCAGGGAGGGCACGAGGCCACGACGCCTCGCAGGGCCTCCCAGCGGGGCCCGGAGACGCAGACGGAGACCCTGCCCTGGGAGCCCCACCCGAACTCAGGGGGGCAGTGGGCGGAAACCCCTGGAAGGAGGGTGGGACGGAGCCGTGAGTGGAGGCCCCTGGCTGCTCCCAGGAGCAAGGGGCTGCGCAGGACGGCAGATCCTGAGTTCAAGGCCCACTGCCGCCAGAGTCTCGGTGTCCCCATCCGTCCGCCCAGTAGGCTGCACCCTCCCTGGCCCGGCCCAGCGGCGGAACTCGGAAGGGCTCTGTGCCGGGTGCTGTGCTGTGCTGAGCCAGCAGGCGCAGGGAGAAGAGACCCAGTTTGGTGTCGGCGGCGCTGGAGCTGAGGGAGACGGGGGACAGGGGAGGGGGGCACGGCCCGGCCCGGGGAGGCAGCAGAGAGGAAAGCCAAGGAGGCTTCCCGGAGGGCGAGGACGGCCACGTGGGTGGCAGGGGAGGGGTTAACTGGGCTTAGCTGTCCCTGCTGTTCACGCTGGACTGGACTGCAGCCCAGCGCTCGGTTTCCAGCTCCCCTCCCGCCTCTGGGCCTTATCTTGTCATCTAGACTCTCCCCAGAGCCTCCGCGGCGGCAGCGGGGACGCGGCGGGGGCCGGTGCGGCGCAGCCACCGGCGTGTAAAGCACGGGGGGAAACCTACACCCCTGCACGCAGGGCGGTGGGACGCGCTCCCGCGCTGCGCCAGGACAAGACAAGATAAGGGAGGCGTCGTCTAAATGACGGGCTCAAGCAGGTGCAGAATCTGATCCAGGAAACCACGGGAGCCCCAAATCCCTTTCTCGGGGTGTGCCTGCCCCAGCCAGCAGAGCCTGAGCCAGTTAGAGCAATTCCTGCAGCAGCCAACCACCCCCCCCACCCCCTGCCACCACACACACACACACCCCAGGCTTCAGATGGGCCCAGCAGGGCCTGGGGAGCAGGGCCCGGCGGAAGTCTCCGCCCAACCCCCGCCCCCCGCGCCCCAAAACTTCGGCTCGCCCTCCTGGCCCCTGCAGGCGAGCTCTGGATTCTAAGCATGGTTTCTTCTTCGAAAAAACTTCGGTTGCAGACGTTGGATTCAAAAAAGAAGCATCGCGGAGACTCTTGCGCTCTGCTGTCATGAGGGGCAGCTGAGAGCGGGACCCAATTCTGGCCTCAAGCGCTTCCCGCAGGGAAGGGACCCGTGTGCTGGGGGGTCCCTGTACGCCTGGGCCTTCGCCCCAGGCAGAGAAACTCCAGGCAAGCCCCACACAGCCCCCGGGCCCCGGAGAGCCCAGTGGACACCCCTGCTTCCACCACACCGACGACCCACAGCCCCGGACGGTGGCGGGGCGGGGGGGGCGGCTCTCTGGCATCTGGGGACCTGACGAGCACAGAAGGCGCGGAGGCGAGAGCTCCACGCCTCTAACCCGGTGCACAGCCCCGAAGGTCTAAGGCTCCCCAGGTTCAGAACTCAACAATGCCACCTCCAGAAAGTGGCTACAAGTGGTGCAGACCCCCAAGAAGCACCACAGGAGGGGAGGGAGGCACCCTGCGCCGGCTTCCCGACGGGGCTGGGCCCACCCTTTCACAGCGCCCCGACCCCCGACCCCTCACCCCGGGGCCTCCCTCCTCCTGAGCAGGGGGCGGCTGGGCCCAGCGCTCCCGGGGGAGCTAGGCGGGCCTCAGCGTGACGTCCCTCCGAAGCCTTTCACGAAGGTGCGGCCGCAGAGCGGACGCGAAGGGGTGATTACACCATTGCCACCGTGTGTCTGAGACCCATGTCACAGAGGGAGCCAGCAGCTGCCTCTGAGAGCCGCCTGCCCCCGCGGACCGCAGCACCCGGGGCTCCTGCCCCACCACCTCGCTGCAGCCGGGAGCCGGGAGCTGAAGCGCACCGGAGACACGGAGGGAGGGGGAGACAGTGCTCGGGGTCGGGGCAGACAGACGGACGCCAGGAAGACGCACCTGCCCCATCAGTACCGCGGTCAGTCCAACGAGAGACGCGTCCAGGGAGGGCCCGGCCCGGGGCTGGGTTTTGTTATAGGCCTGAGAGCCCCTTCATTTGCATTTATATTAAAAAAAGAAGAAAACAAACATAATTAACTAGAAAGGTGCTTTGTTTCCTGTACATTTGAGGGCTTCTGCTTAGCTGCTTCTGGGGGCAGAGAGCGGGAGGCGCACCTACTAAGCGCTCTGGCTGCCTGGTGGCCACAGGCGCCGGGGCTCCCACCGGCCCTTCGGGGCCAGCCTGGCAGGTGGTCGCTGTGCGGTGTCCCTTCCCCCGGTGGGGAAACCGAGGCTGGGAGCTGGGAACTGACCCCCTCACGCTCTTCCAGGGTCTTCCCCTGCCCGGCAGCCGAGTGAGGACAACCTTCCCTCCCGCCCTCGTGCGCCACTCCGGCCGTCTTCCCCCCCACCAGCTGACCACGCAGCAAAGGCAGTGAGCGGCGCAGACCTCAGACGCCCCGCGTCCGAGGGGGCTCGAGCGGCACCCACCCCCACCCCCACCCCCACTGAGACCCCTCAGGGGGCCGCTCATTCCCACTGGTTCCTCTTTCGAGCCGGAACCGGCAGAGGCCTGCGCCCAGAACCACGGGTCAGAACCCACGCACACACCTCTCCACGTGAACTTCACGGACAGTCTCACAGTGTGTTTTTGCAGGCAGACCGGAACGCCCCTGGGTTGGGCTTGAGCTCCAGTCCTTTCCTATGGGCGTCCGACCCCAGGGCCCGGCCCAACGAGTGAGTCCCGGGATGGTTTGGACTCCCCTGTGTCTGGGGTCGGGATCACCGAAGGCCGGGGGAGGGTGGCTGCTCCCATCCCCGGGTCGGGCAGCTCGGGGGGGCACGCTCCAGCTCTCCGGCTCCCCGGCCGGCACACAGGCCCCCCCACCCCTGACCGTCCCTGTGCTTCTGTGTGCGGTGACCACAGCTCGCCCTGGACGCTTAAAGACAGGAGGACGGTGAGGACCAACGGGCCCTTCCAGGCCCTGGAAGTGCACGGCGGCAAAGGAAGGATTTTCTGGGCTCTGGCCCCGGGGCCGCGGCCCAGGACGAGCGGGAGCGAAGCTGGTTGTGCAGACGACAGGAGGCCCGCTCCCTTCCCCACCACAGAAACCTGCGGCCGTGAATTGAACGCTGCAAACAAGATGACTCTCCGAAAGTCCTTCCACCCCAGAAGGAAACACAGGCCGTCCTGCCCGGGACTTCCTGTTGCATATGGCAGCGTTCTGCCCGCACGCAGAGGCGACTGCCTGGGGGAAGCCGGGGGAGGAGGCCTCTTCGCCCCCGGGGCACAGATGGGGATGCAGGGGGGCAGGAAAGAGACCACCCCAAGCCAGCGCGGGGGGGGGGGGCTGGCTGGACTCCAGGGAGGGCCCTGGGGGGCAGACAAGTGGCAGAGAGACACCCCCCCCTTGCGCTCAGGGCCCCCCCTCCACTGGGAGAAGCACCCTGCTGGAGTTCCCCAAGGCGCCTCTCAGAGTATGATGTCTGCGGCTCCCCCGACCCCAGGCCGCAGTGGGGGTGCTGCCCTGGGCACCCACTAGAGAATGAATGCTCACTGCGCAGCAGCACCCTTCGGGGTAGCCCCCGGGAGTCCCCAGGGCGTCCCAACAGGACTCTCCCCAGACTGGGGCCAACTTCTCCCGTTTCCAGGCAACGCGCAGACTGATCTTGCCCACCGCCTCAGCCTGGGGGTGGGCGGGTCCTGAGGCCCTCGGCTTGGCTCCAAGCCCCGTTCCCGTGGCGGCCACCCCCCTCCATCACCAGACGGCGAACTCTCTTCCCCTCCAGGCCTGGCACGATGGCCCGGAACAGCAGGAAGAGGAGCCAGCGGGCAGGAGGGCGGAGTTCGGTCCCAGAGACGCTGGGGGCTGGGGAGGGTCAGCGCCCCCAAGCCCCAGAAGCAATCCCTGGCCACCTGACCCCTGTCCACGCCGCGGGCGGCAGGCCAGCCCCCTGCAAGTCCCAGAGAGACAGTGACTGCAGGCTCGGAGCCCCGCGCAGCCCAGCCGCGCCGGGGCGGTGGGTGGGTGGGTGTCTGCTATGGGATTATTCTTAGCGCTCCACTCTCTTCGCAAAAGTGGCGCCTCCGCCCTCCGGGATCCGGCACGCTCGCTCGGGGCTCGCACGCCCGGCCCAGACACAGACACCGGCGCGGAGCAGCCCCGGGTGGGGTCCCCGCGGGGTGAGGCGCAGAGGCGCCGGAGAGGAGGGGGCTCCCGAGGAGGAGGCGCTGCGAGAGGAACCCCAGCGACTGGCTGCGTGGACGCCCCCCCCCCCCGGCGCCCCGCACCCAGCCCCGCGCCGCGCGCTCGGCCGCCTTGCCTTCCCGGACGCCTCCCGGGCGCAGGCAGCCGGTGGCGCTCCCAGCCCTTACCTATGGTGGTGATGACCGTGATGGCAAAGTAGAAGGAGCCGGCGAACCTCCACTGGACGCCGGCGCGGTGCGGCTCGGACTGCAGGATCACCAGCTCCAGCTGCCGGTAGTCCTCGCCGCTGATGTTGTACTTCCCCTTGATCCGGGTCTCCTCGGCTCGGAGTTTCTCCTCCTCGCGCATCTCGTGGTCCGACTCCAGGGCGTCGAAGACGGCGGCGCCCACCAGCAGGTAGGTGAAGGTGCAGACGATGAGGGACAGAGTCCGCACGTTCTGCCTCTTCATGGCCGCCAGCAAGGAGCCGGCGCGGGGGGCATGTCCCGCAGGCTCGCAGCCGCGCGCGTCCCACTGCAGCGCCCGGCGGCCGCCGCCTCCTCCGCCGCCGCCGCCGCCTCCAAGTTGTAAGCGGCGGCGGCAGCAGCAGCAGCAGCAGCAGCGGGGAGGCGGGGGGCGGGGAGGCTGGGGGGGCCCCCCTCCGCCGCGGCCGCCACAGCCGCCGCCACCGCGAGGCGGCTGGCGGGGCAGGGGCGGCGCAGGCCCGGGCCCGGGCTCGGGCGAGAAGGCGGACAGGCACAGGAGGCTGCTCGAGCGCCGAGGCCAGGCGTCCGGGAGCCCCGACACCCTGCGCCAGACCCGGCCGAAGCAGCCCGCCCCACTGCGCAGGGCCATGCACGGCGGCGCCGCCGGGCACCGCGCTGCCCTCCGCACCCCGCCCCCCGCTCCCGCCAGAAAAGCAGGAGCAGGAGCGGGCCCGCGCCCCTCGGGGTCCGGATCCCGGGCGGTGGCGCCCCGCTAGGAGCCCACAGGTTTTCGCGCGCCCGGCGGGACCACCTTCTTTTACCCCTCTTCACCCCCCACCCCCCGCCGCGAGGGGGTGTGGAAAAGTTTTCCAAGTGGCGGCGTCTCCGGAGTCCCCAGCAAGCGGGGAGCGGCCCAAGCAGGTGCAGCGGGCGGGGCAGCCAGATGCCCGAAGGTCCGAGCGTGCAGGGCCCACCAGAGTGCGCAGGGACGCGGCGGGGTCCCCGCCGGGCGTCGGCCGGTCCACGAAGTTTGCTCCTCTCAGCCCCCGAGGCGCGGGAGCGGGGCGCGGCCTCCGGGTGGCAGAGCCCGCGGCGGAGCGGCCTCGGGGGCGGCCGGGGCACCGCGCGGTGGCGGTCGTCCAGCCCGATCCTCCGAGGGCGGCGGGCGAGGCGGCGGCGGTGGCGGCGGCGGGAGGGGTCCCGCGGGCCTCGCGGAGCTGCGGGGCGGGCGCGGGCGCATCAGCCGCGCCGGGGTCCGGGCCCTCCGGCGTCCGGGCGTCTGGGGAGGCGGCTGCGGCGCTGGTCTGCCCAGGGCGCTGCGTGCGTGCGCGCCGGAGGGAGCCCGAGTGTGTGTGCGTGTGTATGTGTGTGCGTGTGCGCGCGCGTGGCAGCCCCGCTCGGGCGGGAGGGCCGCGGGGGGCGGGGGCCGGGCTACGCGGAGGCCCGGCCTTCCTCCCTCTCTTCTTCACTCCCTCCCGCAGCCTCCTGGGCGCGCCACCTCCCTCCTGGTCCGCGGCCAGCTGGCGAGGCAGCCGCGGCAGCTCCGGCAGCAGAGCGAGCGCGGCGCGGGGCGCACGCGGAGGGAGCCCAGGAGGGGCGGTGGGTGCCGCGCGAGGGGGCGGAGGCGAGCGGAGGACTAGGTGTCTCTGGCGTGAGGGTGGGGGCGGAGCCACCAGCAGGTTTCAGCGGCGGGGGATGGGCGGACTAAGGCGGCTGCTTGGGTCCTTGAAGCCCGGCTTCCTGAGAGCGCGCACAGCCACGCGGGGCGGAGAGTTTGAGGGGCCCGGGGCTCGGGGAGGAGAGGGGATTCACCCCGAGAAGGCAGACAGGCGGCTTAAGAGAGAGGAGAGATCCAGCGGAGAGCGCAAGCAGAGGGGCTGCGGACCCCGGGAGCGCGGCAGCACACGCGGCTCCCCCGGACCAGCCACCTGGCGCTGGCGCGTGTCCCTGGCTGGGGCACCTCCCCATCGCGTGGCGAGGTTCCGAGGGTTGCCTCAGCCCCAGCGAGCGTCGCAGGCCGGGTGGCCCGGCGCCCGCAGACCCGAGTTGTTCCCCCGGAAAGTGCCGAGGATGGAACGGACCGCCACTCTTGGGGTCTGGGCCTCAGGGGAGGACGCCGCACCCCCCTTTCCTGTTCCCTCCCTGTAGCTTTTTACAAGAAACACTCCTTGGCTCCCCGAGGCAGGGCGTAGGGTGCACCCGGACGTCCCCGCGCGGCCTGATGGCCCCGCTCCGGACCTGCCTGGGGACGGAACACGAGGTTCGTGCCGGGGCGCACCTATTTCTTGGGTCCAGAGAGGGGACCTCGCCAGCCTTTATCCCCTTCCCATTTCAGCCGCGTTTGCCCTCTCGCCCCACCTCCCTTCAGGTCATAGATGGGGTTTCGCTCGACCACCGGACCCCTAACCTCTCGGAGCTCTAAATAGGCTGGTTGAAGCCTCGGAGACACCGCCCCCCCCCCGCCCCCCCCCCACACACACACTCCCCTTCCGTGGGTCAGGCGGCCTCTCTTGGACCCAGCCAAGGAAGAGACGGAGACTTGAGGGAAAGGGCGCCCCCCGGCGGCGGGCTAAGAGCCGGGGCAGAGGTGGCCAGGGGCGGTGCGGAGTAGGCCAGAGCACCAAACCCAACCCTCGCTGAGCTCGCCGGCTCCAGGAGCTCCGACCCCTTCGAGCGCCCCCTCCGGCGGTGCTTCAGTTCCCGGTTGGCGGGGACTCAAGGCCTAGAGACTCCAAGGACCCTGGGCCTCACCGAGGCTCGCCGGCTTTCCACACCTTTGCAGGGACTCGCGAGTGCGTGCGTCCTCGCTGCGCCGGGGCAGGGGGCCCGCGCTTTGGTCTGGGCCGTTGGGTCTCCACTGGGTCTGCGGGCGACCGTGAACAACCAGGGAGGAGGGTGGGAGCGGAAGCCCCGCCCCAGCAGGCGCTCTCCCTAGAATTCATTTAGGAATTCTAGACCCCGGGCTCCGAGAACGAGCCGGGCCGCTCAGTGAGTCACCGCGAGCAGGCGAAAAGGACTCCCAGCGGCCAGTAATTAACTGCGCCCCGGCCCTGCCCACAGCAGAACCCCAGCTGGACCTCCCGGGGCTCGGCGGCGGCGCCACCCCAGAGTCACAGCCGTCCGGCCTCCGCCGTCCGGAAGCAGCGGGCCCGCCAGGGGGCACTGGACTCCGACCCACACGCTCCGAGCGAACCCGGTGGGGGCGTGTGCGCCGGCCCCGCTGGCAGGTGCAGGCGCGGGGGTGGGACGCTCTCCACTGGCAGAGCCCAAGCTTTGGGGAGAGTCACTTTTCCTGGGTTTACAAACAGCCTTTCAGGAAAACGGAACCGCTTTGTGTGCGTACTTGAAGGGACCTCAGAGATAACTAGTCTCAACCGCGGTTTTAGGAAGGGGAGCACTCTTAGCTGGACAGAATCACGTGTGCAGGGACACAGGCACTTCCGACCTAGAGCCAGCACTTGAGCCCCCTCCGGGCTCTGTCCAGCGCTCCGTCAAGGCCCCGGCTGCCTTCTGATCTCCAGTTTAGCGCCATGAAGAGCTGCAGACCACCCCCACCCCCCAAACGCTGGTTCTTCCCTTTCACCCCCCTCAAGAGAAACAGGGGGAGGGAGCCGGGTCTCAGGACGGGACCTGGGGGAGGCTGGAGGAGCAGGGTGCCTTGGTCCCTCAGTCTGTACCCTGCACTCTCCTTCCACGGCCTACACCTACAGGTGGAATAGAGCCCCTTGGAACAGAGCTTGACATCTTCCTGGCGTCCCCAGCGCTCATCCCCAAGGCAGTTGCTCAGCCAGCACCGTGGGGGCTGCGACAGTCCAGAAAGAGGTCAGGCTAGTGGCAGTGCTCCTGCATGGGAGGGGGCAGCACCCTCTTTGCCCCAGTCGTTCCGGAAGCACCAACTCCAGCCCAGCCTGGAGGTGGAGTCAGAGCTCAGGTGTGGCCAATCAGAGCCCAGGATTCCCCTGGCCTCAGTGATTGGCTGGGCGTGGCTCGCCTCTCCCCCAATGAGAGCCCTGGGAAAGCGTTCCTAAGAGGAGGGAGGCAGGTGCTGGGGGTGCAGGCCCCGCAGCCCACTGGGCGAGCAAAGGCGAAGGCGCTCTCTCTTCTGCTCGGGCCGCCGTGGGACGGTCCCAGGCTGGAGGCACTGCTGGTGGCCGCCTGCTGACTGGCAGCCTGGCCGTGCTCGGGGGCCTGGGCCTCCGTTAGTAAAAACAGGCGAGTCTGAAGACATACCAAAGAACACGTGGCTCCCGAGCTCCGTTCTGCCTTCCTGTTTGCTCAGTTCTTACCCTCGCTGAGTGTGTCCATAGCCCCAGGTCTGAGGATCGTTGCCCCACCTCACCTAGAGAGGCCCCGCAGCCTCGCTGTCCCGCAGGGAGTCCGCGTGGACCCAGCTGCCAGCCTGAGCAGTCTGTCGGTGCACGGACTCTGCTGCCCCTGAAGGCAGCGAGGCGCGGCTCTAGGCCCGGTCCCCCAGCTCAGGGATCCCCAGCCTCTGGCCCCTGACGGGTACCAGTCCGGCCTGTTAGGAGCGGGGCCACACAGCAGGAGGTGCGCTTGAATGTAATGCCGGTGAATCACCCCAAAACCATCCCCCCACCCCCAGTCCGTGGGAAAACTGTCTTCCATGAAACAGGTCCCTGGTGCCACAAAGGTTGGGGACCCCTGCCCCAGCTGATGGCCAGGTCAGGTCCTTGTAACCTGCAGCCCCTGCACTGCATGCGAAGCCCCCAGGAGCTCCAGTCCCCCCACCTCCCGGCATTCCCACGGCAGACCCGGCCTCCGGCCGCTTCTCTGGCCTCTGCTCCTGCCGCCCTCCTCCCCCCGACCCCCACCCCAGCTGGCCAGTGCCGTCCTCTGCTCAGGCTGTTCCCTCCTGCAAGCCAAGGCCAGCCCCCCACCCCCGTTCCCAGCACACACACATCCCCTCGCTTTGTTAGAGGTGTGATTACTGGGTCTCAGGCTTCTCAGTGGGGCCCGAACCATCTCCACGCCTGGTCCATCAGTAGCTCCCCCAGGTCCCGGAGCCCCGGCACTGCCAGGATCAACCTGGCGACTGGCGGGGGCTGACAGCTCCCCAGGGGCTGCTGGAGGGGTGCCCACCGTGCCCGGCAGGAGGGTCTCGTTAACTGAGGCCTGAACCTCGGCGGGGTCCACACCCGAGGGAAGCTGCTCCGACACCAGCAGAGGAGACGGGGGGGCGCTCCCAAGCCCCGTTGCCCAGCACCTGAAGTAACGAGGCGCTCACAGAGAGGGGGCTTCTGTGGGACCCAGCCAGCTCTTCTGCCGTCTTAACGTCCCAAACAATACATTAATACA